AGAGCGTACACGGACCCCCACACCCACCCCCCCCCTCCCCCCCCACCCCCCCCCCCCCTCCCCCCCCTTCCCCACAAACAATCGGTCGAGGGGGAGGGGAGGCGAAATTCTCGCCAATTTCGTAAGTCCTCCCCTTCCCCCCCCGCCCCTCACAAACAATCGATCGAGGGGGAAGGGGAGGCGAAATTGTCGCCAATTTCGTAAGTCCTCCCCTTCCCCCCCGCCCCTCACAAACAATCGATCGAGGGGGAAGGGGAGGCGAAATTGTCGCCAATTTCGTAAGTCCTCCCCTTCCCCCCCGCCCCTCACAAACAATCGATCGAGGGGGCAGGGACCTGGGAGGCAGATAACTTTCTCGCCACCTGTCATACACACCTAATTTACACATGGTCAGTGCTTGAAATAAAACCACACTGATGATGCAGGGTAAAAATTTCAAAACCTGATGTTACACTGCTCTATCAGTGTAATGGAAAAGTACACACTGCCCATAAGGGTTTTTGAAAAAGCTACACTGCCAATCATGAGTAGGCCAAAACCAAACCTGAGCCCTGATCTCAGCAGTAAAATCCGCTCAAATAATGAATCTTGACTGGTTTGACGCGAAACTGACTCGCGTCACCGTTTTGACGGGTCAGCCGAGCAACACGATGAAAATGCGACCCCCAAAATTCGTTAAGAATATAACATTCTTTAAAGATTCTGACTAAGGAGGGGGGTCTTAAAATATTCAATTAAAAAAGGGGGGTCCTCACGAGAACAGGTCGGAATAAAAGACCCTTGGTCCGGAAAGAGGACCCAGGTGTCAGAATCGGAAGTGTTGGTTCATTGATGGTGGTTGGGGTACAAGTAGCAAACCCTAACATACGTACCCCCTAAGACAAACCTCACTACAGGCTACCAACATTTGACACACCCCCATAGCCTAAGTGAGGGGTGTCTAGCAAAACCAAAAGAGTACGGTCATAAGACCAGTCACAAAGAAACAAAGCTCAGGGTGGATCACAACGTCACCACACACTCTGAGCACAAGCAACAATGGCCACAAGGCCAGTCCAAGAAATAACAGAGTTATATAGAAAGGGTACAAGCAAAACAAACAGTGAACTCAAGACTAAGTAAGCCGAAAACCAGTGTCAACAAGGCCTAACTGCACACAACACCTGTGGTGGTCACAAGGCAGAAGCGCCTTGGTGAAGATGTCTGCAGTGTTGGCCTCAGACTCCACAAACTCGAAGCGAGCCTGCCCACGTCTCTGCAACTCTCGCAGAAGGAAGTACCTGACGTTAATGTGCTTCACTCTGCTCTCCAGTCGTGGCTCTCGACAAAGGAGAATCGATGCCTTGTTGTCAGTGAACAAGGTCGGTGCAGAGCTCGGCCGCTCACCCAGGTCGGCGAGCAAGAACGTCAACCAACGCAACTCCTGTGCCGCCATGGCACCAGCGTAGATCTCAGCCTCAGCTGTAGAGGTCGAGACCGAAGAGGAGCGCGTGGACCGCCAGGAAACAGCTCCAGAACCCAGACTGAAACAGTACCCCTGAGTAGACCTGTGAGTCTCAGCGTCGTCAGCGTAAGAAGAGTCACAGTGACCAGTAAGTACAACAGCCTGCTGCCCTCCAAGAACTAGCCCCACGCCTGATGTCGTCGCTAGGTACTTCGCCACCCTCACAGCTGCTGTCTAGTGAACAGGACGGTGTCTCCCTGGCGCAACAAAGCGCGCAAGGATGCTGAGAGGGAAAGCGAGGTCCGGGCGAGTACAAGTCATCAGGTACATGAGGCAACCCACAAGCTCTGCGTAAGGACCACTAGGCTCAAACGGCTCGTCAGGAAAGGGGCCAGTGGTCAACAGCAAGAGGTGTGCGCTGTACTGTGGAGTGCTGAAGCTCGAACCGCTGAAGGACCTGCTGCACCATGTGTGACTGTGAGAGTGTAATGGTGCGAGCAGCTCTGTCCCTGGTGATCTGCAGCCCAAGGTAATGGCGCAGCTCACCAAGGTCAGTGCACGTGTGTCTCTTCTGCAGTTCGGACTTCACGTCTGCCAAGGCAACCCTGTCAGCAGTGGCGAAAACTAGGTCGTCGACGTAGACCAGAATGAAGAACGGTGTGGAGCCACGGCGAACAAACAGCGACGGGTCGGCAGAAGACGGCTGGAACCCAAGGTCAGAGAGGGTAGAGCGGAGAGTGTCGTGCCACTCACGAGGGGCCTGGCGAAGACCGTAGACAGGTCGCCTCAGCCTCCACTAGGTCCCAGGAGGGAAAGTGCCAGTGAAGGCAGAGGGACGACGCAGCCAGACCTCCTCGTGTAGGCTGCCCTGAAGAAAAGCAGTGGAGAAGTCGAGAGAGTGTAACTCGTAGTCTCTCTGTGCTGCTACGTGCAGTAACACCCGAAGAGTGGTCATCTTCGGGGTCGGCGCGAAGGTCTGAAAGAAGTCAACTCCCTCGCGCTGACTGAAACCTCTAGCAACGTAGCGCGCCTTGAAGACTGGAGGAGATCCTGGTGGCCGCTTCACCCTGTAGATCCACATGCCATCGACTACGTTCGTCCCAGGGGGAGGAACCTCATCGACGTAGGTGCCTGTGGATCTGTAGGAGGCCATCTTTGCGTCCATGGCAGCTCTCCACTGAGAGGCCCAAGGCCCTGACACTGCCTCAGCGTAAGTGCGAGGAGTCGGAATGTCAAGGGCGTCGGGGTCACCCTCAGGGGTGAGGAGCATGGCACAGAGATGAGGGGAAGCGGCCGCCAGGAACTCTAGCTCAAACTGCCTGTCCTCTAGGACGTCACAGCCAAGGGCAGACACACCCCCGACGGCCAGAGGACTGGTAGGAGGAGCAGCCACAAGAGTGGTGGCGTAGTCAAGGCGGCGAGTAGAGGCAAACTCAGTGACCGTGGCAGTAAGAGCGGAGACGGAGGACAAAGAGGCACGAGGGTGGGTAACAAGAGAGGCGAGAACACGAGAGAGAACCGGACGGTACGCGCGGTAGTAGTCAGTGATAGGGGTAGAGAGAGAAGCTGTGAGGGCCGACTCAGGAGGAGAAGGAAGCACAGGAGGAGCCAAACGTGACGGACTAGAACGTAACAAGACAGTACGAAGGTCTGTGAAAGGAACAGGGGACGAGGGACGAGCACGAGGAGAGCGACGAGTAGCACGACGAAAGTACGAGACGGAGGAGGAGAGGACAAAGGCAGAGAACTGGGGAAAACAGCGGGGGAGGAGTCAGGAGGAGGAAACGTGGGACCGTAGATAGGAGGAGAGGCGGAGGAGGGAGGAGAAGGAGAGGGGAGACCAAGGGTCCGAAGACCCGAGACAGGAGGAGGAAGTGGCTGCTGCTGCTGCTGCTGCTGCGGCTGCGGCTGCTGCTGGGACTGCTGCTCCTGCGGGTCCAGCTGCTGCTGCTGCTGCTGCTCCTGCGGCTCCAGCTGCTGCTGCTGCTCCTCCAGCCGCTGTAACTCCCTCTCCTCTCTCTCCAACGCCAGCTGCTCCTCACGGGCACGGCGAACACGAGCCTGGTGCCTAGTCGGGTAGGGGTGGGGGGGCGGAGTAGTGTCCGGAGCAGCGGCAGCTCCAGAGTCCACCCCCGAAGGACCAGGCGCACCACCCCCAGAGGCAGCACTAACACCAGCTCCAGTCCCAGGCTCACCAGAACCCGAAAGAGGCGCACCCTCACCCCCAGACGGAGCACCCCCAGTGTCCGCGCGACCAGCACCAGCTCCCGGAAGACAAGAGTCCTCTGCACCCACCGGCTCAGCTCCAACTCCAGCACCCCCAGAACCAGAAACCGGTACAGGAACAGGCTCGGCACCAACCTCTCGAGAGCTAGCACCTGCGGCACGCTGCGAGGAGGACTGTGGGGAGGGAGGCTGTACCGGAGGGGCTACCGAAGGAGGAGGGGTAGCCTGGGACACACCTGACGGGGCTGGACCAGGGGGGGGAGGCTGTACCGGGGGAGCAGGAGGGGGAGCGGCAGTCAGGAAGAGGGGGGGAGGAGGAACCGGGAGACCTCGACTGGGGTACCTGACGTAGTACGGGGTGGACTCCTCGAAACGGACGTCACGAGAGTCAAAGAACCGGTGAGAGGGAGGGTGGTAAAAGGTGAAGTCAGAGGAGGCCTCAGGAAAACCAAGGAAGACACAAGGAACGGCGCGAGGCGAGAGCTTGTCCGCAAAGGTGTCGCGGACAAGAGCCAAGCAACCCCAGACACGAAACCTCGACGCAACACCAGGGGACCCGGTCCAAAGACTGGTCGGCGAAGCCTCTGGCCGAGAGACGCGTGGCCAGAGGTTCAGCTGGTGCGCGGCGTACCGAACCGCGTAAGGCCACAGAAAATGGGGGGCACGGGCGTGAGTCAGGGAGGTGCGGGCAATCTCCATGACCAAGCCTATGCGGCGCTCAGCAACCCCATTCTGCTGTGGGGACTCTGGAAGCGTCCAGGACTGACGAATGCCCTGCTCGCGACAGAATCCAGCGAGAATGCCGGAGCGAAACTCACCCCCGCGGTCGGAGTGAAGACAGCTGACACGACGGCCACGAGTGTCCTCGGTGGTGAGCAACCACCTGATCAGCGTAGAAGTCACCTCAGACTTCTTCGCCAGGGGGAACACTGTGGTGTAGCGGGAGTAGTCGTCAACAACCACCAGAAAGAAACGCTCACGCTCAGGGCCAAGGCGAGAGGCGGGGCCCCAGACGTCCAGGTGAAGCGTCTCAAACGGCTCGGTGGCCGGACGAAGGGAGGAGGAGTGAGGGGTGGCGCGCAGCCGACCCTCGACGCAAGGACCGCACGGTGGTGCAAGGGACGGCGGCAGCGACGGCAAGACACGCGGGAGACCTAAGACCAGACGCTGACTAGACATAGCACGCAGACGTGGAAGAGAAGGGTGTCCCATCCGGTGGTGCCACAGAACGGTGGGGTGGGCAAGCGACCGGCAGGAGCAAGACGCAGCGACTGGACTGGACGCGACAACCTGAGGGGACGGAACCACCTGGTGAGACGCAGGGAGGAGACTAGGGGGAGGGACAGGAACTGGGAGTAGGGGCTGCTGCGACGGCGGCCGCTGCGGCTGCTGCTGCTGCTGCGGCGGCGGCGACTGCTGCTGCTGCTGCTGCTGCCGCTGCTGCTGCTGCTGCTGCTGCCGCTGCTGCTGCTGCTGCTGCTGCCGCTGCTGCTGCTGCTGCTGCTGCTGCTGCTGCTGCTGCTGCTGCTGCTGCTGCTGCTGCTGCTGCTGCTGCGTCCGCTGCCGTGCACGCGGGCCAGTGTGAAGAGTGTAGAGACCGGAACCCGGCTCAGCAGCAAAGGTGGCCAGAGGCTGGTAAGAGTCCCCGTCAACACACACCGCAGTCTCCCCAGAAGGCTCAAACCACACACCCACGTGCTGACTCACGAGGGGTCGCACGCCCACCAAGTTCCGGGAGAACGAGGGGACATGAAACCCAGTGAGAGACCCGGAGGGAGCAGCAGGACACGGCAAAGTGGTAGTGTGACGCGCAGTGACTGGTCCCGAGGTGGGATCAGCCAGTGCCACAGAGACAGGCGCAGGAAGTGGCGTAAGTGTCGTGCTGTCACGAAAGAAGCAGTGCGAGGCTCCAGAGTCCAGCGTGAAAGACAGTGAAGCGTCCTCCGAGGTAGCCGCTGGACTAGTGTCTACACAAGAACCTACACTAGCAACAGGCAACTGAGCAAGGCTAGCACCTAAGCTAACAACACCAGAGTAAACAGAGTCAGAAACACTAGAGTCAACAACAGCATACATAGCATGAGGAGTTCCAATCAGATCAGCTAACTGCTCGGCAGACATGTCCCACAGAGCGGAACCGTAACGCTGAACAAGGGGAAACCAGTCAGGGGCAGGACCGCCAACCCCGTAAACCAAACGAACCGTGTCAGTGAGCTGAGCAAAACACTGACCAGGGGGGTGAAGGCGGCCACAAGGGTGGCCCCGGCGAGCACCTGTCAGAACCTGATAGGCGCAGGGAGGGTAAACAACACCACGCTGCGGCTGACGCGGCCCCGACCCCGAAGCCAGCTGCGGCCGCTGCTGCTGCGGAGGCTGCTGGGAGGAGAGGGGCTGCTGCTGCTGCTGCTGAAGCTGCTGCTGACGCTGGGCCCGGTACCACGCCGCTGCTCCACCCACCGGGGCTGGCAGTACAAGGGGCGACTGACGAACGCGGGCGTCGCCACCACCAGCAGTCGCAGTGGAGTCACCGGTCGCTGCACGAGACGTCTCTCCAGGCCCTGCACTCCCACCACCGCCAGTCGCAACGCCACCCCCACTACCTCCGCCTCCACCAACGCCGCCGCCAGCACCGCCCCTCTTGCCACCCCTACCGCGGGACCGCGACGAAGTCGTAACAGCAGCTGCGGTCGCGTCAGTAGCGGCAGTGGCGAGAGAGGCAGTAAAGGTGGGCAACTGCGGAACTGTGCACCCGTGGAAGAGCGGGGGGGGCACAGCACCAGAGGCAGCGGCGACGGAGCGGAGGTTGCTCTCGACGTCCTTGAGTGCAGACTCAAGGACGTCAACAGTGAGCTCACTAGGGTGCTTCAGGAGAAGCGCGTCACGAACGGAGGCAAGGCGGTCGGGGAGGCTAGTGGCGATAAAATAGATAGTAATCGCCATGGGAGGAGGAAGCAGTGCGAGCTGTGCCTCAGTGCAAGCAGCGCGGTAACTAGAGTCGAGCGAGCGGAGGTGAGCAATCAAGTCAGCAGAGCGCTCAAATGAGGCGAGGTCAGGGAACAGGAACGGGAGGAAAAGGCGGCCAAGAGAGACAGCAGCAGGAGTGGAGTAGCGGGCCTTAATCGCAGTCAGGTACTCAGCAGCAGTGCGAACCTGAGCAAAGTGAGCCTCCTCAGACTCAGGGAGGAGGGTGCTGAGCGCGATGCAGGCCGCAGCGTCACGCGACGTCCAAGCTGTCAGGTCAGCGCGCTGGCTAGCGAAGCGAGCTCTAGCGGCGTCGTCAGGGGCAGGACCTAAAGGCGTAGGTTCGGGGGGCGCAGGGAGGGCACCAGTAGCGTGCGCCCAGAGGGTCTCGCCTGACTGGACCTGACTCTCTAACTGACGGCGAGCGCGCATAAGCCAGAGTGAAAAGTCAAGAGGTCTACCGTCAGCGTCGAAACGAAGTACACGTGGAGTCGCCATAGTGAAAACTAACGGAAAAGCGGTGGCAGGAAACCCTAAACGAGGTGGCGTGGCGAAACTCGGGCGGGAAAGGGCGAAACGGGAAACCCTAAACGAGGCACAGGCGCAGCTAAACGGGGGGGCGTTAAGGGGCAGCCGCTCGGGGGCTAAGGGCAGCAGCGCGGGCGCGGGGGCGGGCGTTAAGGGGCAGCCGCGCGGGGGCCGACGCGACGAGCAGCGAAGGCGGGCGCCGCGGCGACGGGCGCAGGCTGCGGGCGCGACGTCGGGCGCCGCGGCGGGCAGCGACGGCGGGCGCCGCGGCGGGCAGCGACGGCGGGCGCCGCGGCGACGGGCGCAGGAGCGGGCGCGACGGCGGGCGACGGGGGAAGGCGCAGCGGCGGCGCGCGTAAGGGGGGAACGGGCGACGGGACGACGGGCTGCAGGGGGGGAAACGCGACTCGACGGGCAGCGGGGGGAAAAACGCGACTCGACGGGCAGCGGGGGGAAAAACGCGACTCGACGGGCCTCGGAGGGGGAAAACGCGACGGGCCAGCAGGGGGGAGGAAGGTCGCTACGCTACTCGAGTAGGGGATCGGCGGAACGGGCGGTAACGAAGGAACGGGACGTGAGAGGGCCGGCGCTAGGCTCGGGCAAGACGTGCGTAAGTAATACGAGAGAGGGAGACAGGCTCGGGCGATACGAACGAGGTCGGGAGGAACGGGATCCTACAGGATCCTAACCTAGGTGATACCATGTCAGAATCGGAAGTGTTGGTTCATTGATGGTGGTTGGGGTACAAGTAGCAAACCCTAACATACGTACCCCCTAAGACAAACCTCACTACAGGCTACCAACATTTGACACCAGGGTCTTCTCCGCGGGGGGAAACTGTATCCGGGAAATTACGGTAAATGCACGTGTATTCAACATTATTTAAGTATTCGGGTGTAGCGTGCGTGAACGAGCGAGGGCAAGAGAAGTCAACTGTTGGAAACTCAAACTCAAATGAATGGTTATTTTCATTTCTGACCAATAAGATAGAAACTCAAAATAATTATTTATAGTCAATCAGATTACCGTATAGTTCCGGCTAGAAGACCCGCCGGTAAGAAGGTCCCCCGGGACTCTTGAACGGGTAGGGGGACTCTTATTGTGGCAGACATTGTGAGGACCCCCCCTTAGCCCCTATTTATCATAAGACCCCCCTTTTCTGTATACAGTGGTTATAATCGCTATTGTGCATCATTTTTTACTGGAACATGTTCGAAATCTGACACGTTTTTTGTGTCATACTCGAGTTCTGACACTTTGTTTGTGTCAGACTCGAATTCTGACACAGGTCTGACGCGTCGCTCGCGCGAAATTTGCGCGAATTCGTTACAAATACCCAGGCCCTCAGAAGTCAGACTTTTTTATCTGATTTGCATGAAAAACTCTCAGATTTCAGATTTTTTTTTAGTGTACTCTGAAAAAATCAGAGTTTCTAGGGCCTCAACTCTGAAATTTCAGAATTTTCCAGGAGTGTACTCTGATCCCACAAGCATTTTAGCGGGTACCTACCCTGGCCTGACAGCCGCGAATAGAGCTGGAGGTACAAATTTGTCGTGTCAGTCACGCTGAAACAGTGACAGCAGCGCTACGGCGAGATTAACTCCCCGTTTTAGGCTGATCAGTCAGCTTCATTACTGATGGGAACATTCTTGATCAGACTTTTATACGATTGAACTCTGAAATTTCAGCCTTTTTTTTGTACCAAATCTGATTGATCAGACAAAATGTGTACCAAGTCTGACGAATCAGACAGCCCAAAAACGAACCTGAGGGCCTGCAAATACCGTATAAGACCCCCCCAACCGAACTTGAGCTGTACACCCTAAAAAGCAGATTGATATTAGACAAATAGGTGTATCCCGGGTCTTAAAATTTCGCCACCGCCAAGATGTCCATCCTAGCAGTTTTTCAAGCAATTCTAGAGAGTCCTCTGGGTCTTCTAGCCGGAACTATATGGTATTACGAAAAGTCAAAATGTTCAGAAAAGTCATATTAGCAAGAGAACGAGTATATGGAAACTCAGAAAGATAGGCAAAGACGTATGAAAGCGAGAACCCTGCTTGTTATTACCAGCAGCCATCATCTGAGCTCTAACCGAGGGATCGATCAGATCATGATCTATAATATGCTTAATGTCCATTGTAACAACCTTTCGAAACCCCCTTGGCATCGGGATGTTGTAGCCCTTATAGAAAGACTTCTCTGAAAACTTTCTTGGCCCGGCGAGCCCCAGCGGGCAGCTCAAATAATTTGGCCGAAACTTCAATATCGCCGATGTATTTTTCAGCCCCAAATCATTCCGCATGTAGTCCCGGAAACCCGCAGCAAAAGGTCGTCTCATGGTAATGTTGATCTCCCGATTCAATTTCTCCGTAACGGGAAAATTCTCGCAATGTTTCCAGTCGAGGCCGTATTCGGTGGTGTTGACGGCGACAACGTCGATGAGGTTGTCTGTTCCCAGCCCGCTGCATGCTCCCGTGACGTCAGCACCAGGCTGACCTGGCGGGTTACATGGCACGCCGCCATTGGCCGATGTTTCCTTGCAAACATTCTTCATCCAAGGCCATAGCTGGATGTGACAATAACAAAGGGGGGAGGAGGGGGGAGGAGGAGAAGATGGGAGAGAGGTGATGGGAGTGAGATGGAAGAGGGTGATGGAGGAGAGAGGGGGGAGGGAAGGGGGAAGGTAAGAGAAGGAAGACAATAGCTTTCAAAGCACACATGATCCGGAGGGGGAACAAGGGGTGGAGGAGTGACATGGGGGGTAAGTGCGTTGGGGCCTTTCCCGGACACAATCACGGCTCAACTGAACCTTTTTCTAGATCCTACTTGTACCTACCTACAGTTCGGAAGATACCCCCCATTTTCATTCCCCCTCCCCTTCTTCCCTGCTACGCCCTCCCCTCCCATTCGTATCGACCTAACTTTGACTACACCGTGGACTGGAGTGAGGTGTATGGGATGGTTGGAGGCATGAAGGCTCTCAAGTCTGATCTTAGTCCGTGCCAATTGTGGCTCCTGCTGCCTTGTCGCTCGCCCACTAGCATGCTTATTGATAGCCGTGAAATAATAGCTTATGCTGTCGCGCAGCAGCTAGTCATTCTTTACTACTATGTTAAATGCGGTGTGTGCGCCTGAATACCTTATACGGCAGGTGTTGGTTTGCACTGTAAAACAAAGACTATGCTAGAAACGCAGCAAGTGCAAGCTTTGCAGATCGGCCAAGCCCGGGAACGTAAAACAACAGCAAGTGCCACTTTTTGCGCAGCCAATGCTTTTTACGTTAGGCCCCCAGACCGGTCGACAGCCCTGGTTGTGGTGCTGCCCTTGGCATTAGTAGTCGTCTGCTGCACGCATTCGCCTGACCCATTGCTGTGCCCTCCCCCACTGCCGACCCTCTGCTGCTTTACCCTCACTCACCCAGTTCATGTGGTCACTGTGTGTGAGGCTCGAGACTTAACGCCACCACAGGGGCACCAGATGCACAGTCGTGCAGATATTCACAGGGACGCTCCCCAGTAGTATGGACATCTATCAGCACACACGCACGCACACACTCACCCGGTTGATGCGATTGCTGTTGTAGTACTTGACGCGCATGGCCTCCCAGTAGCTGCCCGGGTCTTTGAGGCAGTTGTTGACTGTCACTGTGAAGCACGACGTCCACCCCAGCGAGCCCTGCGTGCCCTTCATCGCCACGTTCTCTATCACGTTCCTGCACTCAGTCAGCACCGGGGACCAAGGGGTGGACGGCAGTACAGGGCAGTACGGCAACGAGAGGGACAACGAGAGTTGCTGGCAAAGGAGGCTGCTGAGTCGAGGCAAGGTAGGGGAAGTAAGGGGGGGACCTGACGGGCGCAATCGAACACATGAGTGCACAGCATGGAATCTCCACAGTCCCTCACCACTTGCCGTTGTTCACTTTCATGCCGTCGTACGTATTGACGCACGCACCGCCCCTGACGAGCACGCCCGACGTGCAGTAGTCGAGGTAGAAGCAGTGGTCGCCGTGGAAGACGTAGTTGCAGAGTGCGCTGTTGCCCGGGCTGAACCAGTGGGTGTAGTAGTAGATGCCCGCCGCGTCGTGGTCGCCGTTCATGTTGCGCCCCGCCGCCACCACGAGGTTTGAGTTGATGCGCGTCAGCATGCAGTCGGCGCTGTAATGCACGTCCAGGCCACACCGAATGCCGGCGAATATGAAGTTGTGCACGTAGTTGTTCCGGACCGTCACACCCACCGCTCCCTTGTGCATGACGATCGGGGTGTTTACCCCTGCATTTCACGGAAAAAGGGCGCAAGAGGGTGAAACGGAAAAATGGGAGAGTGAGGATACCAGGGCAAAGAGGGGAGCGGGGATAAGAGGGCAACGGGGAGAGTGGGGATATGAGGATAAGGGGTTAGTGAGGATTAAAGGGCAAATGGGAGAGTGAAGGTAAGATGGCAAAAGGGGAGTACGGAGAAAGGGCAAGGAGAAGGGAGTGGAGGTAAGAAGGCAAGGAGCAGCATATGCTGTTCAGGGAGAGCGCAGTCCCACACACCATAGACCTCACTGATTCTTGTTGAATGTCCTTGTCTCAACTATACATGGACAACGAGCCGAGTTTTTCGCCTCGGCTCGTACGAGGCACTCGTTTGAGGGCGAGTGACGAGTGTGCTTTTCCCTGAAAATTACTCGTCCGAGCCGAGGCAAGTTTAACTCGCCTCGCCGAGCACTCGTTGCGCTGACGAGCTTTTTAGGAAACTCGTGCATGTATATGGCTACGAGCCGAGCTTTCCTCGGCTCGTCCGAGCTTTTCTTGAAGCTCGGACGGGCTTTTGAAAAGTTCGTGACATTCAGCCGAGTCATGAGCTTGCATTTGCCCGGAAAAAAGCTCGTACGAGCAAAACTCGGCTCGGAACAAAGCTCGTACGAGTGTGCCGTGGGACGAGCCGAGTAAAACTCGGCTCGGCTCGTTGCTCATGTATAGTCTCAACTCAATGCCACATCCCACTCACCATTAAGCTTATTGAACTTCATTCTCATTCACTCTCAATGACTCTCAATGACTCTCAATGACTCTCATTGACTCTCATTGACTCTCATTGACTCTCATTGACTCTCATTGACTCTCATTGACTCTCATTGACTCTCATTGACTCTCATTGACTCTCACTGACTCTCGAGACTCTCATTGACTGTGGTTGACTGAGGGCAGCGCACTGACCGTACACCTCATTGTTGGAGACGACAACGTTGGACTTGAGCAGTGCCGGCCCGTACCCACAGAGAGCCACGCGGATCACCCCAGGCGACCGGTTGAAGGACGCCACTCCCGTGACCGTGAGTGAGTCCAGCCGCACCTCCATGCTGCGTAGCACGTCCACTCGCCCAAAGACGTTGCCCTGTGAGGGACGCAGGCATGATTGTAGAGCATTGTTGGGACGGAAGTACGTGTTGAAGAGAGTCAGAGGAGTGTGGAGAGAGAGAGGTCACTCTGGTGACCGTGAGTGAGTCCAACCGCATGCCCATGCTTCTAAAGACGTCCACTCGTCCAAAGAAGTTGCCCTGCGAGGGAGAGTGGTGGACGGATTAGAGAAAGAGAGAGAAACCACTCCAGTGTCTGTGCTGTGATTGAGTCCTGCCGCACACCCATGCTCCGTAGCACGCCCAACGACGGTGCTGTGAGGGGGATAGAAGGAGAGGGAATGGGGATGAGAGTGGGGAATGGGGATGAGGGGAGGGAATGGGGGATTACTGAGGATCATCCAGTCAACTCGTCAGTGGGTCACCAGAAGAATCGAGTCAAAAGAACTCTTGAGTCGTCCACCGAGGTGAAGATGGTGCTCTGTGGAGGAGACAGGCTGACAGGCAAGCTGGGAGAGGGTGGAGAAGGGCAAGGAGAGTAGGGTATGAAAACAGCTTCTGCGTTACGATTTCCTTGAAAAATGACAAAACAAACAAATACATTTGAAAAACATGGGTGGCACAGAGAAAAGACGTACGACACGCGAAAGGAGCGCAACAAGCAGGTAGAACGGAGGAACTCACCTTGCCAACCTGCACGCCGAAGGAGCGATGGATGGAGATGGCGGGGCAGGTGACTCCCTTGCCCAGCTCGGGCACAGTGGTGCACTCGGGGCTGCTCTCTGTCACCGGCAGGTGGTAGTTGACGTTGAGTGACACCACGTTGCTCGTGTTCCACACGCGCAGCACGGGGTACATGGGGTCGCCACCAGTCAGCGTGTAGCCGGGCCACTTGGCCGACATGAGCATCGTGCACGCCTGCTGCCGCGAGAACAAAACCCCTTGCGGCAGCGTCAAGTCGTTCTGTAGATACAGAATGACGGTGGTGGTGGGCGGGAGAGAGGCCCTGGCGGCGAAGTCAGCAGGCGCCGTGACGTTGACGATGAAGACCCTCTCCAGCGACGTGCACGGGCCTGTCGGGCGCTTCTCAGGCGGCTCGTACCCCGCGGCTGTAGCGGCACGTTGCAGGGAGACTGGCCCGACGATCACTGTTCGCTGCCTCCTCCTCCTATGGGGTTGCAGGCTGGTTGCTCCGGTTGTAGCAGCATTTGTATCAGCAGCCCGTTTGAGAGGGAAGTCGAGGACAAAGGATTCGGCTGACGTAGCAGCGGCAGCCACAGCAGTGAAGAGCGGCGGCGGCTGACTGTCACGCTGCTGCCGCACCGCCTCAACCCGGCGCAGTATGTCAAGTTGGTCGTGACTGTATCTGTGGTTGGGGCTGTACTGGATGTGACTGTCTTGAGATGGAGCTTGGCTGAAAGCATTGCCGTGCGGGTTGGTTGTGTGATAAGGATGGTGGTGACCCAAGGCTGCTGCGTGATGCCCCACTGATGCTGGGTGGTGCTCTGTGACTGTAACGAGGGAGGAGGATGAAAGGGAGGGGTTGGGGGGGGGGGGGAGTGTGGGGATGTGGGGGTGGGGGAGTGAGGGGAGGCTGAAGCTGTTGCAAGCACAAGTCGCAACTTTTCTTTGGGCGCCTCGGATCTATCAGCTGGTCTTATTCTAGCTTGTAGATGCGAAGTTGACCATGCCAGTAGTGCGTATCTCGAAACGCGTCAATATGCATTATAACGCGTACATCGCCATGCCTTGACGCGTACGTGACTATGCTATGTAGCGCGTACCTCGTCATGCCTTAAATCGCGTACCTTGCCCTGGTTCAAAATGCGTACCTGACCATGCCGCCGTCACAGCGGTCCGCGAACACAGGCCCGATATGACGGCGAAAATCCCGCAAAGGGTGAAGGTATAACAGATCGTCATTCGCTCGGACGCCGCAGCGCGACCGACTGTTCTTCCACGAGATTCCTGCGACTTGGGTCCCGAGTCAGATAAATAACAATGCCGTCAAATCATCTACGTAGATTCCACGGCCAAAAGTCGATGCTACGATGAACGAAAAAAGTGGCATTTCGCTACAATCAGCGTCAGAAACCCTAACTGGCATGAAATGTGCAAATTCGCGGAATGCGACTGACTTATGACGCTATTACTACCAAAATGCAATCAGCTGTTCAGAACGTTGCAATCGCTTATTCGAAGTTATGCGACACGGGTCAGAACAACGCCAAGGAGTCTTGCGTTGTGCTGCTGCTGCTGCTACTTAGAAGGTCACTAACCAATGGAAGCTGTTGCTGCTTGGTTCCTCATAACGCGGCTGAGAATATTCCCCAAAATGCTGCTTGGTGTCGGATGGATTCGTTCGCGATGGAGACGAATTTCGCGACTGGCACCTCGCGAAAACGAGAAGAGACGGAAGCGCGACGACCCCCACAAATGATAATCGCGAAGTAGGAAGCTGGCGCTGGTGGCGGAGGCGGTCGAAAGGTAGGAACTCGGGATTGATTTTTATCAGAAGCGCCGCCGCGCCGCGGTTATCAGGTGTTTCACGCCGTCGGATCTGTTGTGTGGTCTTGCCGTGGCTCAGGGGCGGGTATACAGCGTACGTGGGCCGTTGAATTCTTCAGTACGTCTGACCGAGTGCAGAGAATCCAAACCCTTGCATACATAGGAGGGAAGCATCACATATACTCTACCTCTCTAATCTCTAACAAACAAACAGGTTTGAAATTTGTTATGCGTTGTTGCAAGTATAGCAGTACGTAGTGTAATGAATATACATTCATTACTGTAGAGGCTGCTCCTAGCGAGGACAGCCCGAGCTCTTCGCGTCAGATTCCGGTTCGGCCTACATTTCGGACCGAACCAATTCCGAGTCGCCCTGCACCAATCGCGACGATCCCAACCCTCGCACGTCACGAGGTTCTCGCCTAGCACAGTTTCGACCCTATAAATGCTCGTTTTTTTATCATTCTTGACATTCTGAAATCACAGTCTCTTTATAGAAGTCTTCCACGCACTCTTCTTAGTAAAACTCATAACACTTGGTATCAGAGCCTAAGTTCCTAGGTTCCCCGTTTTTTAGAGTGTATTACCCTTCGGGGGGGGACAGGGAAGGATGCCGTGGTGACAGGAGCAGCGTAGTAGCCGGCCAGGAGAACGGATAGTTGCTCCTAGCGGCCATGTTTTTACGGGCGCTCCTGCTGCACCGACGGATCCTTGCCCTCGACGGTCAAGATTGACCGTGGCCTCCCTCCCCCCGGGTGGCGGACAGCTTTTGCTGTCGTCGCAACTAATGCGTGCGTAAGTTGCGTGCGTTTTTCGTCAACTTCGGAATTAATTCGTGTGGCAGATGACCTCGACGGGATTGTCGTCACTGCACGTCTGAAGTTGTCGGGAGCACACGTGGTGCAAGTTGACATCTGCATATGGACGTCAACTGCGCACGAATATTTCGAAGTTAATGCATGCGGCAAGTGGCTTCGGGCGACTTCGTCACGTTGCGCACGAGATTTTCGGAGGTCTTCGGCACGTGGCGATCGTGGTCACTGTGCGCGAAGATTTCGGGTAGCAGCACGAGGGAAAACGACTGCTGTGCGAGCAGCCAGGCGCATGGTGATTTGCGTCAGAAAATGCAACGGCGAGGAGAGACGGCGTGACGACTGCCCGAAGAAAGCGGGGGTCTACCGTCGTCCAGCCCGGGTGTGGCCGGTGTGACTACAGGAGGGTGCGTCGCTGGCGTTTTCGGCAGGGGCGGCACAGTGTGGGACGGAATTTATTTTCAAACCGCCGAAAAGATCGGAAAAGGCCGCCTACGACTAGACTATTTTCGTTAGGGTCACTTCTGCACCTGCAACAACGTTGGCTGACATTTTCGGAGCAACGGCAGCAGCCGACAATGTACTTCAGGTGACACAGGTTCCCCCTGATCAAGGGAAGTTGTGTCGCAGACGGGGCAGTACACCGACGAGGACAACGATTTGCCGCAGCGTCTAGACCCGCGAATTTCGCCTGGTCTACCGGCTACAATAAACGGAGTTGCGACAAATACGGGTCTGGCGAGAGAAACGGATTCCGAGCTTCAGGAGGGGAGAAAACGACCTACTGCGACGACTTTTTGGTGAGGCCGAGATTCACGGCTAAGCGGCGGTAGCAGAAGGAGCTCCCTACCGGCCAAAGTCTACCGACGTTTCGCATACCCCACACCCAGAAAAGCCTCGAAGGCAATTGGTAAGTCCTGTTGGCTACTGGATACAAAGGTGGGGCCCTGTGTTTAGCCCTGTGCTGGTTAGAAAGGTGCGGATGACGCTGGTTCGACGGCAGGGCGTACAAGAAAATATTTCGTGGTGCAGCACTGTTCGGCCCCGACAATAACGGACCATCAGCGACAGTTACCTTGCCGAAAAGGTCGGGACCGAAGACATTGTGGCAGCTGTCGGTGTTTCTCCAACTTCAACGGTCTACCCAACGGCGGTGTAGCAGCGAAGACGGAGTTCCCGAAGCTGCGGAGTTTTAAATGCGATAGGCACGGTGGGCAGCGAAGCGGCCGGCTGAGAGTTTGATATGATAAACTCGCTCCGACTACGATTGCGTTCGCGCCTTCATCGAACGCCAGAAAAATCGCGCGTCAACACGAAGAATGCCTCATCCGACAAAAGCGGACGCTGGATGAACGGTGGCATGCGAAATTGTCGGGGGGCGAAAGCAAAAAAATGAGGGAAAGTTGTGGGTGCCGTTTCAAGCAACTTGAGTGATAGGCGGAGCCCGTACACCAATCCACCGCGAATTTCGGAGTCTATTCGGTAGACCCCCGAAAGGGTTTGATATCGTTACATGGAGGCACGGCGAGGGGTGTATTGCCAAGGATGCCTGGGATTTGCTAAGTAATTTCGACAGGTACGAAGATGGGTGAACGTCGGAGTACCAGGGTTAACGATGGAAATGTCGGGGCTACAAGGCAGAAAATAATTCGGGGCTCGATTCCTCAACCACGAATTTTGGGTGCAATTTCGACGGTGGGAGACAGGTGAACGTCTGCTCGCCGGCTGTTTAAAAGTTTTACGGTATACTTCGAAGCAGTCTGGGGAGGTTCTACTGCGAGATCTGCGGCGTTGATGCGCGCTAGGGTCCGTGAAAATCGGTCTCGGAAGACCCATAAGTACTGGGTTCTGTCAGAATGAACGGACAGGAATGACTGTACTAGCACAAAGTTGGATACAAGTAGTAAACCCTAATCTAGTGTACCCCCTAAGGTGTAACCCACTACAGCCTACAATCATATAAACATATAATGTTTGACAGGTTCCACGCCAAAAAACACCTCCTGTTGGTGGATTGCTTGGGTGGTTAACCGCACGAAAAAAATGGTGACCGGGTGGGCGTGCTAGAAACACCGGTTCTTTCGGGGGGGCAACCTGCAGACGACCAAGAATTTACGTGGTGTGATTATTACCGACACTTACGGGGTTCAGCAGCAGTACTGGGGATGGGTCTTGTCAGAATGAACGGACAGGAATGGTTGAACTAACAGTGAAATCAGTACAAGTACCTAACCCTAGAATTGTGTACCCCCTATAGGCTAACCCACTGTAGCCTAAACAAACACAACATATATAATGTTTGACACACCCCCATAGGCAAAGTGGGGGAGAGCAAGGGGTCACAAGACCAGTCAAAACAAAGCAAAACAAGCTCAGGGTGGATCTCAAGGATACCACACAAATTCCGAGCACAAGCAAGTGGTCACAAGACCAGTTCACATGCAGGTTGATAATATAACAAGAGATACAGTGATCACAACCTAGCAAGTGTAAACATGCAGGCATATATATAAAGATCACAGTACAAGCAGAGTCAAGAAGTAAGTAAGTGAGGTCCAGCAGGCACAAGGCCTAGAAGAGTACAGAAACGCTGATGGTCACAAGGCTGAAGCGCCTTGGTGAACACATCAGCAAGGTTGGCCTCAGTGGCCACGTAACGCAGACGAAGCTGACCACGCTGCTGCAGCTCTCGAGCAAGGAAGTACCGCAGGGCGATGTGCTTCGTTCTGTGCTCCAGTCTGTGCTCCTCACACAAGGCAATGGCAGCCTGGTTGTCGACGTACAGCACTGGAGGAGAACGAGGCCGCTCTCCCAAGTCGGTCAGCAGGTAGGTCAGCCAGCGTAGCTCCTGGGCAGCCATGGCTGTGGCATCAGCCTCACAACTGGAGCTGAGAACAGAAGAAGAGCGTGTAGAACGCCAAGAAACTGAGCCGGAGCCAAGGCTGAAGGTGTAACCCTGAGACGACCGCTGAGTAGCCTGGTCGTCCGCCCAAGAAGCGTCTGAGTGTCTAGTAAGTACAACTTGGTCTCGCCCTCCAAGCACTAGCCCCATGCCCGACGTACTGCACAAGTAGCGCAACACCCTCTTAGCGGCATCCATGTGCTCCTTCCTGTGACGGCCAGGAGCGACATAGCGTGCAAGGATGCTAAGAGGGTATGCAAGGTCAGGTCGAGTGCAGGTCATCAGGTACATGAGGCAGCCCACAAGCTCTGGATACGGGCCACTCGACTCTACGGACTCATCCAAAGGCAGAGCTGAGAGCGAGTGACCAGTAGGCAGAGGAGTGGACTGAGGCGAGGAGTACGTGAAGCGGAAGCGCTGAAGGATCTGCTGCACCATGTGTGACTGAGTCAAGGTGATGGTGCGCTGTGCTCTGTCCCGGGTGATCCGCAAGCCAAGATAGCTTGTCAGTTCACCCAGGTCTGTGCACGTGTGTCTCCTCTGCAGCTCCGACTTCACGTGGGCGAGTGCCGCGGTGTCAGCAGTGGCAAAGACCAAGTCGTCGACGTACACGAGGATGTAGAACGGCGGCAGCGAGGTGTCTGTGCGTAGAAACAGTGACGGGTCAGCAGTAGAGGGAGCGAACCCAAGAGCCGCAAGTG